CAGAACGAGCGAAGGGAGCAAGAATTTCCTCTTACTCAAAGAAGAAGTCAAAAAACACACGGGCGGAGAACTTGCTAAATACGTCGCAGAAGAGTAGCGAGATTTGACAAAGTTTTTAAGTCGATGCTGAGATGGGTTTGAGATGTTGAAGATTCCCTAAGAAAGATAAAAGGACCTCATGATCGAGTTTACGAAGTCCACAATAGCAAAACCTGTTGTGTAAGCAAGCAGATATTGCTGCGTTGTACAAGTTTATGCATAAGATTACAAGTGAGCACAACAGCACAAACGATGATGATGTTGATGATGGCAATGATGATGTGTTTTCAGCCATTTCAAAAGGCACAGTTATCGCATTCGAGGGGTAAGTCAGGACACCTGCAGTGCAAAAACATGAGCCAACTACCATCACATTTAAGACACATGGAACCGGATGCTGGTGAAAGCGGAAGGAAAAATAGACATAGCACTGAGAATAGTATCAATACCAGTCGTGGCAGTATTGATACGCTGGCAGAAGCAGTACAGCTTCTAAGCAATGCCACGAAAAACTTAACCAGTTCTAGCTTGACCTCGAATGTTCGATCAGCCTATTCTCAGTGGTTCGCCTTTCTCCTCCTCCATCACCGACTAACGATTCCAGGATTTCATGGATGCCTGTTGCTGACTACGTGGTAATGCACGCTCTCTGATAACAAATGCATTTGGTCGTAGGTTGTGTAACGAAAAAAAATGACTATAGACTGGGAGCCAGAACAAAAAGAGCTCAAAAAATGATGGCGAACAGAATTTTTGTGCTTCGCAGCATGCCAGGTGTTGCTCGGTCTGCTAACGATCCATGGATAACGTGCGCATCAGCTAATGGCATCTGTGAGAAAAAACACAGGCAGACAGACTCTTGATAATATGCGTTCGGGCACTCTCCGAAGGACACTGTATTCGCGTCGAATGTAGATGATAGGCTAACATGGGGAGCGAAAAACTCAGCAGAGAAGGGCCAGATAGGGCAGTGCTGGCAAGAGAGTGCAATCCGTTACTACTTGACACCAAACCTTCATATAAATTGCTCGAACTCCGTAATTCAAGCTAGAGGCATGTACTGATGCGCGCTAGACAGACTTTTTCATCCTTTGATCTATCTGTACAAAGCTATGCAAAGACGAGGAAACTATTCTGTTTCGGAAAACCGCGTCTCCTCCCCACATTCCACTCTCCTCGTATTCGCCTCCCTAATGTGTCAAAAGACTGGTGACAGTAAAATGAAACGCTGGACCGCGATTGCGCTTTTGAGGCAAGTGGTTCCGTGTTAGCCCAAAAGAGACTGCTTGGTCGAAGTGACCGATCAAGCTGTGATTTTTTTAGACGGATTTTTCCTGCAAGCGAAAAAAATCATTATCGGCGTGCACCAGGCAGGCCAGTGCAATCATTCGTCTTTGCACTATTTTATGATGTAGCAACATCGCAAGGAATTCCAGTAGCTAGAATTTATAACGCACTGGCGCTCGAAGTTCGGGAAGTTAATTGTGCAGCTATGTGATGTGTCAGCTGTTGACGTTGGCTTTAGTGATTCGACAAAAGAGAAAGTTGCTGGTGCGCGAAAAAGAATCCATAAGAGCTGAATATGAATTATTTTAGTCACACATGAGTAGGGGGCATTCCCTTAAAATTCCAGCCTCCCAGCTTTCTCTTTTCTGAGTTAGCAATTTTTCCGCCAAGATTTCCAGGTGTCCCTACGTGAGATTCGGATGGTTCTAAGGAGCTGAACCTGAAACCTTTCAACTGAGTAGGGGATATTCCCTTACAATTCCAATTTTCTAGCTTACCTTGTCCCTAAGTTAGTAATTTTCCGGCCAAAACTTTCACTTGCTTATACGCTAGTCCCGGGCGATTCTAAAGAACTGAATTTGAAATATTTTGGTCGCACATGAGTAGGGAACATTCCTCTAAAGTTTCAGGTTTCCAGCTTTTCTCGTCCTCGAGTTAACAATTCTCCTTCGAAACCTTTGCGTACCGCAAGTGAGGCGTAGACGTGCGTGACAGCTGATATCACGTTCTTGGATAGCACTTGGCCAGGGAATGTACTGCTAAAATTTCAGAATCAGAGCTCGCTTAGTCGGCGGATAGAAACAGACGACACACATAAATACGCACACATGCACACAGATAGAGTCGTCGCAATATGCGTTTTGGCGTTTGCTATTTGTTGTAGCGCTCTAGCGCTGTACGGCAAAAACGCGAAAAAACATGCTGAGCATTTTTGCAACTGTATGACTAAAAATATCAAAAGAGCTCAGAAAATGAGTATGGTAATTCCATGTTAGTGATGTTACTGGGATATCTTCACACGCCCGATGCAGCTGTGCCAGGCATTTTGATTCTGAGTTGCACAGCTCCGGTTAGCACCTATCATTTGTTCGGTGCACCAACTTTTCGGATTTCGTTTGAATGGTCGTTAACTATATATACTCGTACTCGCCATATATACTTGTATTTGCGTACTTTTTTGTGAGAAAAAATACGCAAACACAAGTATATAGAGAGAGTGCTGCAACAGGAATGTGCTTTAATGACATACAAATAATTACTTTTTCAAAGTGGTAATGCTGTTTTGCAGTATGATTTAATTTTACACAGCACATCAGCGTGCGTCACATTTCACGCCTCATCTCATCACATTAGAGGAAATCCATCTTCACTTGTTTTAATAAGCTTAGTGCATTTGAAGTGATGTAAGTAAGCGACATACACTGATGCCAATATCCGATTCCGGACTGCTGCGAAATTCGTACACATCATCTGGCTGTGACGTATGCGTTGAAACACTTGTAGAACTTGTTGCAGCTGTTAGACCTTTTCCTCGCTTTCGACCCCTGCAACGTCATTCATTCGAGCAAAAAATCTGACATAAACTGAGAATATGTGTAAATGCAAAGACTGATTCCACTTTCAACAAAAAAAAGATGATACCTCGTTTTTCCTTATTTCTGCCTGACCTTTTAATTATTCTACTTTTTGACTGGATATGATTGAACACATTTATTTGTGTTTAAGTTTAAAGACAGGACGTGAAGAGGAAAATTTATTTTCCTTCCGACTGCTAATTAGTTCAGGATAATTCAGCAGAAGTGATACGCATTTAGCTCAATTTTGTGG